TCGTGTAGTGTAGTATTCTGGAATACTTAATATAGAAATATCAGTGAATTATTGTTTAATTACTTTTCCAGATAATACAGAAGTTGCATATTTAAAGACACTTACCAAGGAAGATATCATCAAATTCTATAAGGTAAGTCGAATTGAAATGTTTAGATTTGATAAGGAGATCTGTGTGTTATATGTATGTTGCTGCTTCAAACCTATGCAGGCTGGATTTATGAAGACATTTTTGTGGATTTAGGTGTATTTGACACAAGCACCTCTTACTGTTCAAAAAAATATGGACAATTCATACTGAGCTGGCACTGTTTTCTTCTCCCTCTGGATCAGGGACTGTGCGAGTCTTTCCAAGGAACAGTGGTGAGCCCATGTGGTCGGGAGGAAGAGCAAACAAAACAAAGAAACGCGAAAACTAGATTATTTTCTATTTATTTTCTTTGCCCTGACACCTTTAAGTTGTCTTCACCCATTCAGGTGCCACCATGGCTGTTTTTCTAAAGAAGTGATTACTCACCTTTGAACTGTGTTCAGAGAACTTACAAGTTTTGAACGTTTGTGCACGCTGAGAAAGTTGATCCAGAGGAGAGAGGGGCACCACCATTAAAGTCTCTGAGCACAGTTGTGAGAGAGTCATGCCATCTAAATCTTCCCCTCCTTAATACGATTCTAAAAACTAGCAAAATTTGTGTTAAGTAGGTATGCAGTGTATAATAAGCGTGCTTCATGCAGAAATTCAAATTCTGTATTTCAATAGAATTGTTTTTTGTTTTTTGTTTTTTTGCAGGGGTAGGAAGTTTGCCATAGAGAGTGTGCACTTGCTGGACAGAGACAGGGAAAGGGAAAGTGAGAGATCTCCCCACGGGGGGTGGCCATGCCACAGGCCCTTCTCCTCTGTTCTCCTCTTGGGATTTGGGGCACACACGTGCACACACCTGGCATGACTTTCAAACCACCAGGTCCAGGACGCATACCACGGTTGCCCACTGGGAGTCCAGCACCTTAACCACTGCATTACCTGCTGACCCTAAGTTGTATTCCTTAAAAGTACTGCATACATTGTTCATTATACCAGAGGGTTTACGTAAAAGACTTACATTCTTCATTATACCAGAGGGTTTACGTAAAAGACTTACATTCTTCATTATACCAGAGGGTTTACGTAAAAGACTTCGGTGCCTTTTTTCAAGACAAGGAGCTGCGTTAGACTCTGTGATTATCCTCACACCTCAGCATTTCCCTGATGTTCTAGCCCCTCCTCCTGGTTCATATCTGTTGTAGACGCTACAGGGCTGAGACCCGCCCTGTGCTCACATCCCTTTGAAGCGATGCCACCTACGTTATAATGTCACTTTCCAGGGGCCCAGTGTAGCTGCCAGCACAAGAGTCAGTGCTTGCAGTTCTCAGGGTGATTCTGCAGAATTAGCCATCCACTGAGGCCCGGCCACGTTCTCCGGATTCAGTTTCCAGTGCCCGTTTGCTTCACTGCTGCTGGTACTACGTGGCAGGGTGAGGAAAAGGATACTTCCTGACCCCAAAATGTTGATTGTTTCTGAGGGGGAAAGGGTGCTCTTGCACTGTTCACGAGTAGCTTACGCCTCTTTTCCAGAAACCCTCTGCAGCATTTCTAGACCTCTGTTCTCTGGGTGTGCAAATCAGTGTTAATACCGCGCAACACCTTAGCAATAAGAAAAGGGAATGTGGTCTTCTCATTTCAGAACTGGGCAGCTAAAGCAATTTTCAGATGTATCTTTTCAGCAATGAGATTTGAGCCATGGTGGCTGTGGAAATGGTTGGCTGGACAAGTGGTTTCCTCATGACTCCCTTTGCATCGTGCACAGGAAGACAGGAGTCTTATCAACTACTCTGGCTTTTTTGTAATAATGGCCTTCGAGGGAACAATATGTGTGTGTGTGCCTTGATGTATAAACATGCTAGGCACATGCTAAATGCTCAGTAATGGTAGATACTACTATCACACGTAAAAGATTTGCACACACACACACGCACACGTATTCATATAAACAAACACATGAAATGCTGATCTAAAATACTACCCCATGCGGGCATTGTGTATACGCAGAGACCTGTGGTAGGACAGCGAGAGCAGGCAGCTGGTGCGGGAGCAGCACAGCAGGGCCAGGGGCACCCCACCAGGCTGTGCGGGGGCCTGGCGTGCCCTCCCTCGGTCATCCCAGCTTCTCCTGAGGCTCTGACCAGTGGGGTGGCAGCGGAGCAATGTGGCTCGTGAGTATAACCCAGGCTCAGCCCCACCGCCAACTTGGCCACCTACTGAAGCTTCGATAGAGAGTGATCGGAATACTAATTAAAATGAGGTCTATAAAGTGCTTGGCACTTAGTAGCATTTAATAAGTCATCTCGAGGATTTTCATGCTTTAAATCAGGATGTGTTTTCCTCCTTGATACTACAGAATAGGTGTTACTGGTGTTTACTGCTTCTTTACAGTTTCACTGTGAGGTCGGTACTTGTTCTCAATCGCCTGTAAAAGAGGGCGATCACATGTAGCTCTTCTGCGTGTCTGAGACATTCAGTTTAAAGTGTTATTAGTTCTAGCTATTCAAGAAGGACGGTGTTCTAATGTAACTTTCATTACACTGTCTCCAGAAGAAGTGAAGCATTTTTTTCTTCCAAAGATTTTGTTATTCATTTGAAATTACAAGTGGTGCCTCGTGTTTGTGAAAATAACCATTATAAGACTCTTTCTCGTCTTAAAGAATGGTAGTATTGATGATCAAATGTCAGCTAAATTCAGAATAGCAGTGGGAAAGACAGCTTCCTTTATCCCCATTTTTGGAGAGTTACAGAGAGTGTGGGCATGTTAGATGTTCTGAGAAGTGCTGTAGTGAAGACTTTGGCCTGCATCTGTTTAATTTTCATTAACCAAACATTTCCTAAGCTGATTTTGCCATGGACCCTTTTTCCATAGAATACCTCCTGGGTCTCCTGTGTGCCTTAGAGCACAGTTTGCAAGAAGGCACAGTTGATCATTTTTAGAAAGATGGAGATTGGGGACCAGCAGATGGCATAATGGTTCTGTTGCTGGACTCCCGTGTAGTGGACCGCAGTTTGAGTCCCAGTAGTTTAAAACTCAAACTGGGTGTGTGTGTGTGCCCAAGATCCCAAGAAGAGACTGGAGAAGAAGGGATTGCGGCATGGCCATCCCCACTTGGGAAGTGATTTCTTGCTTTCTGTCTCTGTCTCTCCAGCAAGCACATGTGCCTTATAGCAAAAATCTCTCATAAAAAAAATATAGATTATACAGAATTGGTTAGGAAATGAAGGAAGAACAGTCTGAAATTGAAGTTTGACAAGTAGACAGGGAAGGTCTGTGTGAAGGAAGTCAAGCTTTGTATTCCAGAAAGGACGTTCTCGGCTGGGTCACTTCACATTCAGGCTGGAGAGGTCCGAGCAGGCCTGTGGGCGAGGCTGGCTGTCCTGGCAGCCACGGGCAGTTGGGGCAGGTTTGTGGTGCAGCATCAGCAGGGCCTCCTCTGTGGCTGCACAGGACTGTGGGGCAGCTGCTCCATAAGTAACCATCAGTGGGTGCACTGGGCTGGTGCTCTCTCCCAGCCGAGGTTAGGGCGTTACTTCTGGCTATCAGAGGACGCGTCTTCACAGCTCGTACCCCTTTCGAGAAGACGGGAAAGGTTCTGCACTAAGGGAACAGTTCTGAGAGGGCCAGTGTGATTGTCCCGACTGAGTTCAGCCACCGTCTGTGGACACCGGAATTCACGGGGTGCAGCCCTGTGCATCCCGTCTGGTGGGCACTAGACCAGATTCCTCATCCCAGCCCAGCACTTCCTAACTGCAGGAGGCTGAGCAGGCCACAGATTTCCTCGGGCTTAGTTTTCTCCTCTGTAAAATGAGGTTAAGAATAATACTTGCTTGGGGCCAGCAGTTGGTGTGGTGGTTAAGGCATTGGACACTCCCACATGGCCAACCATGGTTCGAGTCCCAGCCCTGGTATCTTGCTTTCTCACTTTCCTTCTCTCTGTGTGTCTGTCTTTCTCTGGTCAAATGAAAATGATTGAATGAATAAATAAATAATTCTTTTTTTAAAAAAAAAGGATACTTGCCTGCCTTGCTGAATCCTTGTAGAGTTTAAGTAAAATAATGTGAGTGAGGAGAAGAAAGGGAAGCCTTTTTCTGGTGAGAGCTGATTCTCCATCGTCAGAGAGCTGCTCACTTACTGCCGTGACCGGGCAGAGGGGTGACCCTGCTCTGCTTTCTGCCTAGGAAATGCTGGCGGTCGATGCCCCGAGGAGACACAAGGTATCCGTCCACGTTCTGGCCAGGGAAATGGATTCCTGTAAGTATTAACTGCTGGAAGTCTACTCCGGGCTCAGGGTGAGCCACCTAGTGGTGTCCCTGGCCATAGCTACACGTCGTGCAGAGCACCAGAAAGTAAAGGGGTACAGAAAGGCACTGGAGACAGGGTTTGCTCTGTCAAAGCAGAAGTAAGCAGAAAAGGAAAACGAGGCAGTGAAGGAGCGAGCCCGCACCAGGTGACAGTACCAGGCTAGTCCCAGCTGTGGTGGCTGTGGGCTGTCTCCAGCGAGGCCATGTGGAGCCATTGCTCGGGGCTGGGTGAGCAGGTGTCCACTCAGTCCTTCCCAGCTCCTGTCTCTGACTGGCCACAGTGTGTCCTGCAGCCGTGTGTTCCTCCGGCCTTCTGGGCTGTTTTACTGGGTGCTTCTGGGTGGTCAGAGCCTCGAGGTCCGGGCAGGTCAGACCTGGGCACTGAAGCTGCCGGAACCAAGGCTTTGTAGCCTCAGGCACACAGTAGTCATTATTAGGGCCACTCCGCAGATTGGACGGCAGGCCAGGCACTCCAGGTCTTGGGAGGAGGCAGCGCGGGAGGGTCTGAGAAGGACAGAACCTGGGCCCGCCACCATTTCTGATGATGGACCCTAGCTGAGAAGTGTTTGGGGAGTTGCTCGTGGGTGCTGGTATCAGTAAGAGCAAAGCGTTACATTTTTCATTTTCTTACAGGTCCTGTCGTTGGAGAGTTCCCATGTCAAAATGATATAAATTTGTCCCAAGCGCCACCCTTGCCACAAGTAAGAGACATAAAATGCCGGGCTTAGGCCAAGGAATAGGCAGAGGACCTCCTTCTTAGAAGGAGCTGCTGGTCAGGACACGCACTCCCTGGGGGTTCCGCACGTCAGGCGTTCAGCATCTCCTGCAGGTCCCCAGGGACGCCTGGTCGCCCACCACTGCCTGTCTGCCCACGCTTTGTTCAGACAGTTGTATCGCTCCGCCATGGCCACAACTGCCCCACATTGCGTAGCGGAGGGAAACTCTTAGCTTCTTCCACGGTGTCTGGCCTTTTTTCTTTTTCTTCCTTTTTAGAGAGACTTTTCCTCTGGGCCACGTGTACTCACTGGAGAGACAGACCAAGACAGAGAGACAGAAAGCAAGAAATCACCCCCCAGGGGCAAGGGCCATGCCTCAATCCCTTCTTCTTATCTCTTCTTGGGATCTTGGGCACACACACACACCCAGCATGAGATAGAAGCCACTGGGTCTGAGGTTTGAACCAGTCAGCTATGTTGGAGTCCAGTGATGTAACCATTATGCCATCTGCCGGTCCCAGTGCCTGCCTGTCCTAATCTAGGCAGATCGGCGTTGACTGGTGTAGCCAGGCCTTGCTGGGTGGGCACACTAGCCCCTGTTACTGTGTTGGACCTTGGAGCCGAGCCCTGGTAAGCAGCCCCGTGTGCCCAGAGGAAAGCCCGGAGTCTCCCCTTAGGTTCGCACAGACCCATCCATGACCTCCGGGCCCCACTGATCCAGAAGGAAGGTCGGCAGGTCGCATATGTGCAGGAAAGCCTATCGTGTGCCTACCCCACCCCACCACCCCCAGAAACAGCGCGATGTCCTACTCGGTCTGACTTCTGGGTTAATTGTACTAAAAGGAAATGTTTTTTCTTTGCAGCCTGAAGTGATACAGAACATGACCGAGTTCAAGCGAGGTTTGCCACTGTTTCCCCTTGTGAAACCACATATTAACTTCATGGCTGCAAAACTCTGAAGATTCCCCCGGGGGGAGTGCACGTGGATGCATTCCTGAGTCTTCCAGGGCCTAGGAAGCCAATCTTCGCCACTTTAGTAGTTTCTGGTTCACTATTAGACAAACGAAAAAGTTGTCAAATATCATTATGTAGAAATATTAAAAAGTCAAAGTAATTAAATTACAGAAAAATCTTATAGATGTAGAATATTTTTTAAATACATGCCTCTTAAATATTTTAAAATTTTTCTTTTCATTACTAAGAGAAATCCCCCCTATATAACAATACTTAAAATGATGAATGATATTCCTAGAGAATCTTTCTTCCCTGTTCTGTAAAATAGTCTTTTGTCCAAAGGAAATAAAAGTTAGCTTTTTTTCTAAAAGCCTCCTGAGTTGATAGAGAAGGCTTTAAAACATTTAGCAAGGTAATACCTTTTTAAAAATCGATTCTCAAATTTGCTTTCTACTCAGTGGTTTCATGTAAATCAACGGAGGATGTTACATTCAACAGATAATGAGCAAAGCAATGTCATTTTCTTTTATCAGTGAAATTGCTGATTATATAAGGCATGGTTTTAATCTTTTTATAAAATTTGAACGTGTTTTTTATTCCAACTCGTAAAATGCTGGAAAACCCTAGAACACCCTCCTTATTTACAGTGCTAGTCATAGAAATACAGATTGACCTTCCATCGACCTTGTCCCAAACTGACTTTCTCAGGATGACTGTGCTTTCTTGCTTTCTTTCTGGTTGAATTATGTCGGCATTCTCGTCGTTCACAGTTGGTTTGCAGTGTTCCATCCACATGTTGTGTATTTATTTTTAGTACAAAGAGTGTCAACTTCACATCCTACTGAGTGTGTGACATGCTTTTCCAACATCAGCTGCCAGAACCACCGTAACTTCTTACCACACTGAAATGGCGGTAGCAGGACAACCCCAATATTTTGCCCTGTCATGAATTTAAAAGGCTCACGTGCTATCGAAGCGTTCTTAAATAGCAAGGCTCCACAAGACTCAAAATCCCTTGTTGCTACCAGTCTAATCTTGCCTTAAGTGTCAAAAGTTATTTTTTGAACATAGAGATAGAAATACTCGAACATACAGATGATGACTGGAGTGGACTTTTGAGAAGTTGTTTTTTTTTTTTTTTTTCACAAGATACTATTTCAGGTGAAATTGCTACCGTGGGCCTAACACCTGTTCTAGAATATTTCCTGTCGTTCAGACTTGCTTCGAGAGAAACCGTGACTGTTTCCGCGTGTAGGCGCTGATAGCAGGCCCTGTCCACTAACTCAGGCGAAGTAAAGAATTGTCATTTTCAAATGACGTTTTACCTCCCCGTGGGATCTGATTCGCCCGGACTTTTTTCTGTAATGTCTTTTCACATCTTCTGTTTTCACATTTGCCATTTTCTAAACAATCGCCATTTGGGGCAAGAATGACATCGCCACCCCACGGAGGCTGCTGTCGAAAGCAGGGCTCCGCCCCTCGCCAGGTCCACGTGGTGCTGTAACTTTCTCTCCCGACCTCCAAGAGCCTCCTGTGCGAAGGCCGTCTCTGTCCATCAGAAGGTGTGCGAGGTCAGCACTTCCTTCCGGTTTTATGCATTTGTAGACTATGCAGCTTTTCATCCGACTGCAAAGATACATGGAGAAGACAGATCTGAAATCAGTCCCGAGTGTTTAAATGACACCACCCTGGGAGTAAATACAAACCCACCTACCTTTTCTGCGGAGAATTATGTGCTATCGAGTAACTTTTAGCTCTTTTTAAAAGATGGGTGAGATTTAATAGTGTCCTTTGTATGAGAGAAGGCACCTGAAGAGACCCGGAGGCCGCCTCCTGCAGTCTTCCACGCGCCTGAGATGGGTGTTCAGTGCTCCCGCATTTCCCGGCCTCCCGTGGGTCTAGAGCGACTGGCGGATCACTCAGGATACTAATGGACTCGTGCAGTGGGTCCAGCTGCAGTCCGTGAGCAATAACAGACCCCCCCAGACACCGCGATCCACTCGGCGCTGAGCACAGATTTGGGGAGCGGGCTGTTATCCGCTGCCTGGGACTTACCAAGTCTTCGTTTTGCCCAGTTGATGTGAGAGAGAGCATGTGACACAGCCAGTGTGTGGAGTGCTAGGGTTCTCCTGTTTACAATAAATGGCCTGAATTTAACCTCGAGTTGCATTTGCGTTATTTTCGCAGTTTTAGTGGTTCTCATCCCACCTGTCCACCTCCCAGTCTGACAGTTTCTTGCTTTCATTGTTCTTAATGCAGAAAGTGGCGAATTCTAATTTTTTTCCTTAGTTGCCAGAGAGCAACACAGGGAGAGGGAGAGGGAGAAAGCACCTCCTGCAGTGGGGTTTGGTTACGCCTCGGTCCCTTTTCCTTCTCCATCCTGTCAGGATCTGGGGCACGCACACATGCCCAGCGTCTTTTTCCAGTCTCCACAGCTGGCTCTTGAACCATGGTCAACCATGTGAGATCCAGCTCCCTTAACCACTAGACCCCAGGGCCAGTGTCTAAGGATTTTCTGTTCATAGCAGAACATGTGTGTGCACACATGGGAGAGCGGGAACACCCTCATTCTGTGGCCCCTCTTACTCAGCCTGCCAGCTTGTCAGGGTCTGGAGTACGCACTCATGTGCCCGACATGTTTTCAGGCCAACTCGGGTCAAAGTCCATTATTAACCATGTGGCTTCTACTCCAGCACTGCAGTTCAGTTTGTTACCAACCGTACCATCAGACTGGGCCATATTCCTTTTTTTTTGAGAGGTTTTTGCACTCGCCAGAAACACAGACAAAAGTGAGGACTCACCCCCCAGGGGGATGGCCATGCCACAGTCCCTTCTCCTCCACTCTCCTCTCGGGATCTTGGGCACGCACGCACGCACATGCTCCCTGCGCAAGTTTAAGCCACTAGGTTCGGGACTCCAACCATGGTCAACTACATGGGAGTCCAGCGACATAGCCATTACGCTAACTGCTGGTCCCCAGGCTGATCAGATTTTAATTTTTTTTTTTTCCAATTGCCACAGGTGCATGCGCTCACCAGAGAGAGAAAGCAACAAAGCACCCCCATGCAGCATGGTCATGCCATTGATCCTTCATGTCTCGATTTCAGGTACCCACGCGCACATGCTGTCTTTCTCAGGCTCTGTGTCTGGAACTTGAGCTGTGCAGTTGGCCTTGTGGGATCCAGCCACCTCAACTTCCAGGCCACAGGCTGGCCCCTAACATCTTTTTTTTTTTTTGGAGAGATTTTCACTGTAGGGCGCGTGCGCTCGCCAGACAGACAGAGAGAGACATAGAGACAGAAAGCGAGAAATCACCCCCCAGGGGGGATGGTCACGCCGCAATCCCTTCTCCATTCTCCTCT